CGTGGGCGCCATTAAGCCCCGTAAGTCAAATCGCGAGAACTTATCCTCCTATTATTTAACCCTCGCGATTCGTGCCGCGTAATTCATAGGCGGCTCGATTTATGCGTGTCCGATTGGCCATTGATCCTCGTATCGTCGCGCGATCGGCTCCTCTCGATCGCTCACAATCGTGTGCGTCGTGTTTGCGCTATTACGGCCGAGCTACCGATTAATTACAATATGTTCCACGTACGGCATTGCAAAACACCGCGGAGCCCAACGATATCGCTGGCGTATCGAATCGACCTGCTAATTAAACTGGAATAATTAACAGGTGATACCGCGGTAGGAAGTTAAAGAATCCCCGCACGCATGCGCACTCACCTGTGGGCGTTAAACGATTCGCGGCACTTGTCGGGCACGCGGGTTGTACTTAGCCCGAGAGAGAGTAATACCGGTATCTCGATGCTCGTCGCAGGCTAATCGAAATCGACCGGTGCCTCCGTGGGCGAATGCATATTGCAAATCGATCTTAACGCTACGGGAGGCAGAGAGTTCAATTCAAACTTCCATTTGGCGCGTCATGAGGGGTCCGCCATTTTGAGTCTCGGGGTTGTCGACATTTGGGTCTTCGCGAGACTGGGAAGACTCCGATAAGTGGATTAATAATTAAATGCTTAGTCAACGGACAATATCCTGGACCAGGTCGTCCGTCTATGGGGTCTCAAGCACGCCGAGGAGGGGTCACCGTCAACCAAGTGGCGACTAACGAGAAATAATTCCCTCGCAGTGCGAATCATTTTCCGGCGGACATTGACGGCGTATAATTATGGCACGCTTAAATAGCAGGCCGAAGGTTGCACGCGCCTCTCTATTATGATGCATGGGAGTCGAATTTCAACCCCATAGGCCGGCCGCAGCAACCCCACGAATCGGCAGCTTAATAATACCCCGACGTATAAAGTGCGGGCCTCCCCGTGTGTACGCCACTGACACCATATAATCACATCTCGAGCAACGTCTGGTCATGATTCATACATATTACGAATATCAAACACTCGGTAACCCGGCAAATATCGGGCCACCCCGCCGTCCTCTTGGATATTTACTTGCGTACTCGAAGAGCCGAGTGACGCGGCTTTTCTCGCTCGAGGGGCCTCCTGGAAAAGAGTCCTCGAAGGCAGGTCCTCTCCCAGGACGAGATCCCCCGGTCGCTCGACTTCCGGAATTCCGACGTCCTTCGAGGACGCCGCCATTTTTTCAAACCATCCGAAGAACCTCCTCTGGGGACCGTTTTAAGGTTATGTTGCGTTAAATCGTAACTCTTGTGCCATTTTGAGGTCGCTGGACTTCCGGAATTCTGATGTCCTTCGAGGACGCCGCCATTTTTTCTAACCATCCAAAGAACCTCCTCCGGAGACCGTTTTAAGGTTATCTTGCGTGCAGCCGTAACTCTCGTGCCATTTCCACGTGTCCTCTTTCGACCGGTCCATTCCTCTAAGAGTAAACTCTTCTCGAAGAGTAACGAAGGCGACCGGGGGTAACGGCGTTTACGCGAGACGTCGAGGAAATCGTCGAGACGCAATGGAACGAATATCTAATCGAGTCGAGACCGAGTCGTGCTTGGGCGATGTTCTATGAAAATTACGAGCCCAGAGGGTCCGCGCATCCATGGCGCAGCCGCTACTTACGGATTATTATCCGCGTTACTTGCCGGCAAGGGAGCAGCGGACGTAGACAACAAGTAAAGAGAGTACCGGCATTACATCTTTCCAGGAAAGTATCTGCTAGCTCGCTCTTTGTTGGCTCCTTCCACTCCATAGCGCGTCTCAATTTCCTTACAATCCAGCAAGGCGGTAACCTAACCTAACATTGTCTAACGATCCATGCCGTCTAACGCCGACGCCTCCATCTTGGGAGTAATGCCTGCCCGGACTTTAATGCAGCCTGACTTCCCCGGTGTTCGTCGACCTCCTGCTTCATGGATCGTTCTATTTATGTATTAAACTCATCCCGAGAATAAAGCACATAAACCCCACGTCGGCATCGACTCTTTTCACCCCGAATATATACAAGACCCATTGTCCTCTTGGACGAACTCAGCGAGTGAGAGCCAGATATAGGAAGGAAGAATCGCAACGCGAGGATCGTCTCCATTGGCAAACCTTTTCCGCGGATCGAAGTCTTAAACAAAGCTAGCTAGAAGGTTCCCGGTTAAGCTCGGAGCTTTCCTCTGGGTCCACTCCACCCGACCACCACTTGGAATTCATAAACCGTGGAGTCCGCCATTTCGGCGAACGGTGGGCGAAGCCGCCATGTTTGCTCTCCTTGGCGCACTCTGAGGATTTCTGGACCTAAAAGAGTCCCCTTTCCGTCGGATTTTTCACGGGCTCGATTTCCAGGCGGGCGACTATTCGGCTCGGAGATGTTTGCCCCTCTCATCCGACACTCTCGATGGAAATCCGCCCTGATCCCTGGTCTCGTCTTCCTCGCGCTGCGGAACCGCGGATTAAGGCTCGGCCGGCTCTGTTTGGTTTTCCTCACGAATTCATCGGCTTTGCCAAGGGAAGAAAATTCCCGGCGACGTCGTCGAGGCTGATCCACGCGACCGGCGATCGTCCTGGATCGACCGATGATACGAAAATACTGGCACGCGTGTCGATTGATCCTCGACACGCGACCTCAATGGCGCAATCAACGCGGATGACTGACGGCTTCGCATTTGCGCGCCGACCGCTGGCTCCGGCCTTAATGCGTTATTTATCGACGATTTTAAGGTTTAAAGCCGGCCAACCGATGGCCACAGGCGGTTTTACAATCGCTAGCCACCGACCGATCCCCAGGAAATCCGACGTCTCATTGTTGGGCTTGATGGCTTCACTTATCTGGTCCAGGACGTGCGGGATATTGTCCCATAATCCAGGAATTTCTGAATGGCAGGGTACCCTCTACGTCTACCCACTGCTTCAGGATTGCCGGCGAAGCATTCGATGGCCTGACAACTGGTCCTCGATTTTTTCGGAGGATATTCGCCCTCGCTGTAAATTGGATCCTGCAAACTGGGTGGCTGATCCTTTGGGGCTCGATCGCGGGATTTCTCGATAGCGGCCTTTCGTGGCTTTGCTGCTGATGGACAATATCTCGACCTGGTCGTTTCTGAATATTGCCGAATGCTTCTTGTTCCAAGATACAATTTAGGTAGAGTACCCTGAAGGGTCCAACGCCTTTTTCTTGGGTTTGGGACCTTTCACTTATCCACCCCTCCACGAAGACGTGCAGGACGATTTTTTATCCAGGATACTTTTCGCAGAAATTGCTTGGGAATCCGAGGACACGCGAATGGCGACTACCCTATCGCGTTTCAGGAGGGATTGAAGATTCTCTGGGGCGACGCTCGGTTTCGCGATTTTTAGGGCTGATAGCAGAAGCTCGTAAACGCCGTCCAGGGTATTCTATTGATTTTTGTCGAAAAGTTCCGGAGCACTTGGCTAAATCTAAGAGAAAAAGATGTGTAAGTCCTTTGTCTTCCGGGCTGTAGGGGCCATCGGTTCTTAATCTCGGTAAGAGAATTCCTCTCAGCTTTAGGCCGTCCCTTGATCGATCCTCGTTCGATGGAGCCCAGAAGGAGTTCGTCGACGTTTTTCATTGTGGACAAACCACTAGAGTCTACTACGATGAGTCCTTTGTCATCCCCGAACAAGGAGCGGGCGTGAGCTCCTTTGCATCGGTTCCAATTCGGGCGGATTTGTTTCGGCACTTGGGGTGTGGTAAGCCGACATGAAACCAACACCCCAAGCTTCTAATAACGAGGAATTATCGCCGGTAATACAATGCCCGCAATCCCCTTTGATGTCGGAAAGTAATGCCACCATTAATAGTATAAGATTATTCATATGCGCGTAAAAGGGCGTCGCGACGTCGCTCATTCGACGTCGTCACCCCCCAACGACCACGTCCAAGAATTAGGGCCCTAAAAAGAGACACGCAATGTCTTCTAACAATGGGTGAGATTTCACCAACGACTCGACCTCTTCGACATTCATCGACTCCTTGTCAAACTTTCCCAACAATCGAGCAGGGGAATTAACAGAAAATCGCCAAAAAGCAGGCATCATCGACGGAGTACCTTAGCAAGTACACGCAAAATTCCCGTAACGTACCTACTCCCCTCGGTGCCCACATTAGACTCCCATAAAAAGAGCAGGAGCGCCCGGTCAGTTGTCAGGCGTGAAAGGTTTGTTCAAAAAATTATTTTTCCCTGACGTGTGCTCCACTCATTCGCATACTTCGAAATTCTCACCCTGCCAATTAGACGCTGGCAAGTTGGCCACCGCAGACATGTAATTTGCCGTGCTACCGGTTGATAGAATGGACGGGTCAAGAGACCGACTGACGGACTGACGCGCGAGTGCGTGTACGCACATTACTCGTATGCATATCGCACGCATTGTGCCTGTACACGCGTACACACCGGCATTCGTGTAACCCGCGGTTTCTGCTTGATTCGGACATAATCGTCCGGCCAGGTCGGTCAACGTCCCAGGACATTGTTCAAATAAGATCGCATTAGCCGGGGTTACGGGGGAAGAGCGAACATATCGAAAGGTGGAAGGCACCATGTAATTATTTTATCCTCTCTGGCGTATAATTTAGGGTGCGCGGTCGCCGGTGGGAGTGGTGAGATGGCATAGCCTGAAGGGGCGTGTGGCATAGACAGGGCCAAGTGGGGTGCAACTGACAGCAGAAGACAATTAGCCTTCTGATACATACACTATCGCGTGTCACGCCGATTCGCGAGTATTCCTGCGAGTGGATACACGGACTCGCGAGTCCACTTGCATCGTTGACTGCACCCATAAGATGATGGGGTCCTTCGACCAGCGCGCAGGATCAAAGTGGGGAGCACCATTCAAGTGGTGCCCAGGGACTGGATTCTCGAGTTTGGATTTTTCTCCCATACGAATAGATTCGCATGGAAATTATCCAAGTCGCATCCTTGGTGAACGTTTGAAAGCCGCATATGAGAGTTAATTTTTTTCTCTATTTTGAATACGTTTACAAGAATTACCTAGACACGTGTGCACGGTATGTCGATGAAGGGGCCTTCTCTTTATCATCGGTGTCACCGTGTCAACGATATCGTGACACTTCTGAGACTCGCTCGAGTAAAGAGCCCAAGATCCGTGATCGCGTTGATTAATCTCAATTCGCCTTGACGTAGGTTATGTTGCCGCGGTCGGTGATGATCAGCAGCTTCTTTTTCTTCTTCTTCAGTTTGTGGAACCGCCTGCCCATTTTTTTATTAGCAGGAGTACTCAGAGGAGCCCCGGGCAAATGGGTGTATTTCAGCTCGGCATCCCTGTCGTACTTTATGGGGACGCACTCGGTGAAGTCCTTATTCCAATGCTCTCCTTCCAGGCAGGATTCTCGGGGGTAATCAGGTCCACCTGAAACGGGTCATCAAGATGAATGCGTCAGGACATTAGCTCTGCCCATCCTCCTTTCAAGGATATTATCCCATAACCGGTGCGTTCATGTGCATTTAGGTTACCATTTTTTTTTAAGGACCCCTGATTCGCAGATGTAATTGCAGGGGATAGGAGGGGAAAAGAGTGAAGCAGGAATTGATGAGCTTACCTGGATCCCTCCTACTTCCACCTGGCGGAATTGTTGGCTCTGTGGAAAATTGGGAGGTGGTAGTGCCGAATCCACCACCTCCTCCGTCGCCTCCAGGACCTTCTCCAGGACCTTCCGATCCGGACCCGACACATGGCAGGACTACCGCACATATCGGCATGTACCCGATGAAACCTGGCGGTATAAAGTAAAGGACCCCTCCACATATGAAAAGCCCCAACATCGGTTGTTGCTCCTCGTAGCACGAGGGATGATTACACGGCATCCCCGGATACCCCATAAAGGGATACGGCGGAGCCATCATCGGCATGATTCCCATGATTCCGGAAATCGGGGCCACGGGAATTGCCAATATAGGCGCCGGAAGTGCCATGCCCATTGGAGGCATCCCACCGAAGAAGGATCCTAGATTATGCTAACAGAAATTATTTAAGCTGGAGGATGTCCACACCTCCACGTAAATTTTTTAGGACTTTTCGTTTTGTACCTGGTTTATGCTTCCAGGAGGGAAGACTGAATTTTCGTCATGATAGTCGTTTTGGACTGGAATAAAGTCTCTAGTCAAAGGAGAGCCTGGATTCTGGTACTCTGGCATGAACGGCTGGTCATTAAAGTTTGGCATCATGTTCGGGTCGCCTGCAGCTAAAATGTATTATTCTGAATATGCTTTATAAACATTTTCATCTGATGCAATTAGAACTAAGTGGATTTTTGAGAGCTGATATTTCCGTAAATTAATTAGACCGAAACTTGCAATACCATAGTTTACGTAAAATGGTTCCTCCTCCACTTCGTAAGGCGTGCGTCGTTGCATCTCCATATTTTGCGGTTCCTTCAGGTTCGGATTATTTCCCGGATTGATCTGATCGAAATTTCTTACGATTCTTGTATTGTACTGCTGCTTAGCTTTGGGGGATTTCCGAGGCTCCGATGATCGGTCACGGAGAATTCTATTACCCGATGATTTCTGAGCACTCCATGTACCTAAAATTTGCAGTACTTTGTCGAGATGTTCACAAGTGCCGATTACTAAACGATCAACTTTCTAAGATCCTTAAATAAGAGGGCTGGGGTAATGGAATTACGCATGGTTTCATGTTCCTCAGATTTACTTTATTCCTCCATGTCCGTTCTGTGACCGACATCGAGTGCCACCCACTACATCGACATACATAATCCCATTACTTCCAGATTTCACGCAAGACTATCGAACGTTTTAATACCTAAAAGGAAATACATAATACCTACTTACTATTTAATAAATGAAAATGATGACTACAGAATCGACTCTACAAACAGGTCAAAAGACATCACAAAAGCAAACGTAGAGACATTCTGTTAAAAGGCAACACACAATGGTACACGGAAACCCCAGAAAAAATGATTCAGGAGTCTGAGCTCTAATTCTTAAAACCTTGAACAGGTTGTTGATTGCTCGGATCGTTGCTGGAAGGATGCTCGGTAGATTGTTGCCGCCCGTTGCTGGATCTCAAGACCTTGCTTAGAGTTGTGGACAAGTGTCGTCTCTCCCCTGTTTTGTCGATGCAAATTATCTCGCAAGGCAGAGGATTTGACAGATCCAGAATTGGCCGATCAGGCGCCATAAGAGTGACCAGGTCCCCGGAATGGCTCAGAATCTGGTTAAACTGCACAGGCGTTCCATGTATGTCATGACAGATCATGTCGCAAGGATGCACAGCCTGTTCATCCGGTCGAGCCTTGTCCAGAGAAAGCAAAGATGCCAGGTCCACCATCCTGAATCCCTCGAAATTCACAGGATGTGGACCACGGTCGTCGTTGAAGCTCCTCCTCAGGGCCTTCTTGTAGCCATCGGAAAAGAGCTTGGAGAAGGCCACGTTGATCTTCACTTTGTATCCATCAGGGAAGGTGTACGTCTTTATCGACTCGTTGGTAGCTTCCTCGGGAATGTAAATCTGAGGCTTTGCAAAATTGATGGCATTGGCATTGCCGTTCATGCCTGGGACCTGACCCGAACCTAATTGCTGCTGAGGTCTTTGGTAGGCGTTCGGCAAGGTGTACGTCCTGGGCTCCTGAGATTTTCCATCCTACGGAAATAGATCATCATCCCAAAAGTCAGCTTCAAAAGGGAGCTACTAAATTCTTTGATACATATCTCGGATTTTAATTCACAAGTACCTGTGGAAAGAATGGAGGTGCAGGACTGAACACATTCTGACTGGCGATTCCTGGTTCCTGGTAGCTTCCGAAGGACTTTGACACTCTGTTCAGGATTGGATGGTCCCCGCTTTTACTCGACCCAGGAAAAACGATCTTCCCGGACTCATTTCGACCTCGTTCGATCTTTCCATTGTACTGACGAGGGGGGGAACCCACTTGGTCGAATTTAAGTTCCCCGGTGCGCACCAATCCGCCGTTGGAGAACCCTAAAGGTGGAGTCTGCTCCACCCTGGCTTGTCCATAAACCACTCGTTCACCTGACAATCGACGGTAATTAATTACACCTCTGCCGCAATAAATCAGGCGGTAATAAATCCGTACACACAAAAGACGCGTGCTACGATAATGAACACGTTATCAATGTTGCTGGCCCTTTCATCATCATCAATGTGGTCATCAATATCACAAAGCCACGCGGCGGATGATTTAACGCGGTTCCCCCCAGCTCGGCTGGATCTTTCCAGCCAATATCTACCATCTTTATCCATCATCGTCTTCGATTGACAGATGCGCAAAGATAATTAGGAATACTGCCATTCACCTTGCGTAACGTAAGGTCCTTGCTGAGGAGTGTTTCCTGCATTGCCACGGATGCTTTTGAAGAACCGGAAGAACCCGCCATTATGGTTGTTCAAGTAATTAACCAGGTCGTCAGGGTTTCTTGGACATCTCGGATACTCTTTGAAACAGTTTCCAGGATTTCCTTTGCTCGAATATCCCGTAAGCGTCGCTTTCGCGAAGTTTAGAAGAGGTGCCGACTCCGTGCTGCTCAGGACTGATAGCAGACTATCGGAAACAATTTTAATAATTATTTTAATGCTTCTCGATCATCCTAACTTTTTCAGACTTGAAAGGACACCTTTGCTTACCTAATTAATGCGTTAACTCCCAGATTCTCTAACTGGAACTCCCTTTGCTGGGAACTTCCACTTCCTGGCATGGTTCCACTGGCCACTTCGCACAAAATTCTTGGAATACATTTGAAGTCATCATATCGAGCTATAGAAGTCAACGCGTCGTAAAGGATCGACCCAGGACCATCCGCGGAATTCGGACCCAATAAATTAGGATACCTAGTTCCAGGCTGATAATACTCTAATCGAGGCGACGCCGCAATCGGAGTACTCGGATGGAACTGGAAAAAAAATTCTGACCAATCATGCACATGCCCCTTAATCATACTCACTTAACGACTCACCGAATTGCTCGGCTTAGAGCTGTAATAATAGGAAAAAGGATCCACTTCCGGCCTCCCTGTCCTTCCGTGAGAAAACTGAAAATTCACTCTGCTTCTTGGGGAATCTCGAAGGTGCCGACTTTTCACTTCCCCGGATGCCTTGCTCTGATTGAGTACATTGGAAGCCAACTCGTTCATGCATCTGCGACCAATTGAATCCTTTTTAACGAGCCTTTCTTTCCGAATCGGATCACACAAAACATTTTCTCGAGGTCCTCCTACGCGGTGCCGATTGTATGGCGTGAAAGTTAAGTTTCACTGATCGGAACCTAATTTCAAGAACCTACTCCTACTTACTTCAGCAAATCGGTGGTGTTGTAGACCTTGTAGCCCCTGAAGTTGCAGGAGTGCAACTGCAGCTGATTGGTCACTGCTTCTGCGGTGGTCAGCTCGAAAAACACCATAAAGACCATCAGGGTCGAGCCGATGAGCCATAATCTCATCCCGGACCGGAATTTCCGTCGATATATGGCCATCTAGACCGGATGTGGATCTCTCTTTCAATTTCGCTGTCTATACTTCTGCGGAACTGGCACCGCTAATTCATGTTCCCTGTTACGATCTGCCTGGCAGACTTCATGCCTTCGTCTTCAGGGGGTCCGCAATGCCAGCCATGTTTCTTTTTACGCGTTTCCCACCGGCGGTTTATCGCGTTAGCTGCGGATTAATGTGCGCCCGTTAACAAAGCGTTTCGCACTCCAAGAATCGCTTTGTTTTCCACAGCGACCCGGAAAATCGACACTGGGCCCGATCGAATCGAGAACCCTTGGCCAATCAGGCGATTATGATTGCTTGTTTAATCGACCTAAGTACCCGTCGAGTTCTCGAGGCAACTCACCGTCGATTTCCGCTGCGACACCTGAGAAACAGTGGAAATTCTCGGGAAATGCATTTCGGCGAACTAGTAGGTGAGTTGTAGAAATTTTGATATTTTACATACAGCTTGTATGTTGATTGTTGACGGATTATCCGGACCCAGAACTTGGGGGCACCGTCGCGACTCACGTCTTGCAGGTGTTGGGGTGATGGAAATATTTTTCCGTTTTTTCTCTCGTTTTTTCTAGAGGTGGAGTCGGAAATTTCAAAGATGCAGATCTCCCGGAAGATCCTTGAAGACTGCCTTGAAGCCAAGTTGCTGTCCAGGTCTTTGGTACCAGCGTGGGCTGGAGGGACGTCATCGCGGGCAACTCTCTCTCGAAGAGAGAACCTACATTTCCACTCGCACGGTCGCCATTTTGTCCGCGTAAACGCAAAACGCCGATACCTCTCTCTTTATATTCCAGCATATACCCTGTTAGAAATTTGTGAAAGGATTAAGGATAGTGAAAGGAGGAGAAGGAGGAAAATCAGCGGAACCGAACTCGGAGTCATCTACGGTTCCTAAACTGATCACGTAACCTGCACGTAGTCATTGATACATCACTTCATAAATGTAATCGATACGCACATTTTCATAAAATTCAGGACATCTGTAAAAACGAGTATCGGATGGAATTTATTAAATCAAGCACCGTACAGATTTACAATTATTCAGCATAATGGGTATATTATTTTTAATGAGAAGACGTGAGTGGAGATAATTTTTGCAAGCACCGTTAAGGTATCATAAAATTGTAAATATTGATTTACTGCTTTAAGTGAAAATGACATAAATCAGGGTATCGAGATTTCTTGTCTTAAGAGTCATGCACTATAAATGTCGCTTTACCTAGCTTGGCATGCTTGATTGGATTGCATGGTTCACCCTGTAATCAAGGTAGCTAGAAATGATTTAACCCGATGTATTTTAACATTTAAAATTAACCTAGGTAAAAAAATATAAGGACCGTAGAGTATTGAGCGTTTACGCGTTATTTTGACATCGTTAATACTCAGTCTCTGGGAAGACCTCGACATTTACTAGGTACTATTTACATTTCCTGCTCGCCTATTAATCTTAACCTCCAGAACACATGTATAAATTGACCTATTATGTACACAGTGATAACCCTAACTCTCGTTACAATTCCTCGCACTTAACTACCCTGTACATTTGCACCAACCTGTCGATTAAATCGTCATTGTAAACCCATATAAAACCAGTTTACCATTTTCACTACTTTCTAACGCCCGGAAGAACCAAGAAAATGTATTAAATTCCGATCGCCGGAATAACGATTAATCTATGCCGAGTGCAATCTTAATCGCAGTCGTCGAAACTCCGAGCATTGAACTCTCCGAGGATGGGATTTTTCCTTTCCGTTCCATTTCTCCCTATTACTTCAAACGACGTCCGCTCAATCTTACGACGTCGGTAATCCTCAACAAGCATTACAGATGCATCAGCGACAACACCTTTCTTCGATGTTACGTCTCGTAGAAAGTTAAGGTCGACGTCCGTGAAGAGCCGCGCTCTTCCTCGTCTACTTCCCCAGCATTCGATAACTTAATTACAAGAGCTTCACGCCATTTGAGCGCCACGGCAATTACTGTCTGTACACTGTTTACTGAAATATCGTCGGTTTGATTCGGCAGATAGGTAACTAGTCCCGTATTTTGACATTTCTCGCCCTAGGGGTCGGACAACGAGGAGTCTTCGCAGCCTCTTCCACGTTTCACCAGCTGATGACAGAGGCTCGGACTGCCGACGATGTCGCCGAGGAAGACACTCAACAAATAGTTCTCCTTCATGGGATCGGGCGATGACTTGTACTGACTGCAAATAGAAGACAAGAGAGAGCAATTAATCCAGAGACCTCTCGGAAGTGGCGGAAAAACTCGTTCCACTTTCTCCGATTTTCATTTCATTCCGACGCAAGCATCGGTTAGGGAGATTTCCTCGGAAACGAGGAAACGAGACAAAAAGGGTATTTAAACATGAACCAAGAGACGGAGGCTGAAGAGGCTGGCGAAAGTTCGGATTTTCCGGATGACTTTATGGGTCCATCATCGATACGGCCAAGTAAATACAGCTGATTGACCGCAAGGTGATAATGCTCCACCACTCGTTGGCTGCGACGCAATGTCGAATGAAACTAGATAACATTCAGTCGTTTGCTTTTATTGGCCGATTTGATACCTCTAATCCAAGCTGAACGGTCGTTACGGCATTTTGTAACCGTCTCCGTTCCTCTCCTGGCGTCATTTACATTTGTGAATGTGAATTCCAGAGATGTAGGATTAGGATGATGCCTCGCGTCTTCTGGTACGAGAGTCTATAGTCTATGTCAATGGAAACGGGGACGGCTTCGAGATAGGAAGAGCACGTGCTGGTAATCTAGCTGTAGACATTAGCAAGGGCTGATAAGATGACAGGTCCTCAAACGTCCAGATTTCGGCAGACAGGACCGAGAAGCTTTTTAGGAAAGGAAGATGTCGCAACCTGGGAGGAGAGACGGAAACGCGGGGGAGGGCTAGAGAAAGAGGCCAGAGTTATCGGAATGCATTAGAGTGCACGAGCCAACACCATTAAGGTTATCTGGCCTTGGTGTTACTTACAACTGAATTTAGTGTAAGCTTTGTCGACGGAGAAAGGGTACTTAGGGACAACTAGGCAGCCGAAGGGCTCCTAGGTTCCCAGGAATAGTCCACTCTCGAGAAAGGACGACTGCAGTCCTCGTGGCTTTTAAGGATCCCGAGAACGGTGCTCGATGCTCCCGGGAACCCACCTCCGGACTTTATCGTCTTAAGGATTTAATTTCAGGGAAGGGGATATAGGAAACGGCACTTCCGTGGAGTGAATCTGGAACGTCTCGAAGCCCTTGGGAAGAAGAGACCATGAAAACCAATTGGGTTGAACGACCTGCAACCTTGAATGCAGACCTTATGAATTCCATAAACGTAGCCAAAACTGATTCAAATCCGGAAATAATACCCAGGGTTCTCGAAATCCATCGATTTGAGGTTTCGTCACCGGATCATAGATCCTCGATGGATCCAATGCAACCGATGCACCTCCGATCACGGTAACATGCAGTTGCATAACGACCGTCGCGAGAGATGCATTATTCCATGGGGTACACCTCGAAGTACTCCTGACCCTACGTCACCTCGACATGCCGATAATAATTGCCGGTCTCTTAGGAATTACCAATCGCCATGATATAGCATAAACGTTGCGAACCTGAAGACGACGTTCCAGTCAAGAACTCGCTCCTTGCTTCTTCTCCGAAGTGTTCTGCTGGCATACTTCAGGCATATTCTCTCGTATATGCAAACCTTCTCGCCGATCTCGGCTACGAGTTTCTTCTCCACTTGGGCGATGTCAAGAACCTCTTCGTCATGGGCAAGTGGCAGAGACCTCTTCACTCGACTCATGTAGGTTTCTGAAAAATCAATAAAATAGATCCTAATCTGCGTTATAAGATATCGTTATCACATACCGCATTAAAGGCACGTGAAAGTGGCATCTGAAGGATCGATCGATCATGAAACTTTTCTGACACTCATGAAATTTCAGGTTTTATAAAAAAATGTTTAAAATACATATGATAAAATTGAAAGAAAAAAATTCGAAATTTCGACATTTTCGAGAAAAGTTTCGTAAACGAAACACCTTTTACGCCACTTTCACATCACCTTAAGGGTCGAAGATAACGGGTGACCGTGACCGTTCGTGATAAGGTAACTCGGAGTATCGATTTTCTCGATAGGAATGCTCGTTGCCGCTCATTGCTTCGGTGATGACTATCGTGGACATTATCGCTGACGACTCGTTTGCCTGGGGCCAGTTTGCAAAAGCAAGTTTGGACCTTGGTCAACGTGCGCTTACGTTGTCGTAATATGACGGCCACGCATGCGCGAGAGATCGCTGCAAGTGGAACACTTTCGCTTTCGCCGTTCGACCATTCGTCCCACGTGGTCGGTATGTTAATATGGCGGAAAAGCTCGCCGAGTTCCGGTTACGGAACCGACCGGAACGCTTCCAGAATACGAACTCCACTCCCCGAGGAGGTTCCTTACCGGGATTCAAGGAGTAGGCGAGCTTCTTTATGAAGTTCGTTATCCTGACTGCAGCAATGATCACGGGGAATCCGACAAGCTGAACCGGAAGCTCGAAAGTTGGTTCCTGTGGACTGGGGGCCGCTGTCACGAGTGCCAAAACCAGGAAGCAGCATCCGAGGAGCAGAATAGTCCTTGAAAGCTGCATTCTACTATGGTACCTGAAGAACGTGTACATTTCCATTGACATTCCTCCCAGAATTAATTCCCAATTCCCACCTGCAGATAGAATCTACCGAGAACGGTTTCAAACCACTCGTCGTCCCTTAATCGTCAATTATTTCTTACCCTCCACCTGGCTCTAGCGGATATGACCATTATTAAGTAAAATATTGGTAACAGACCTTCTTTCATTTCTAAATTAACACGGACACTGTACAAGACACCGTACATGACACTGACGGTGACTCTCTACGGGCATGACCGTTCCTCCTGGAGAACAGCCTGGAGGATCGACCCTATCACTCGCTTATCACGATTTATCGATCCCGTGGACCTTTTAGCGGCTCGTCGAGGGATTTTTAGAGACGCGAGAACTTCTTTTCGTCACTGAACTTCAACTGGAAAGTGGCCGAATTCCGGGATTCGGTTAAATCGCGGCCTTACGTACCGTGCGACCTTCGAGCACCGATCTCGTCCACGGCTGAGCACCGGTCAAAACTCGGGTGTTGTTTCTTTGGTAAAAACTTGTTGCTGAATGTTCCTGGAGTGACCGAGCGAGCCCCAGCCGGGCTCGGGAGAAAGTGTTGCCCCTCCTGGGACTCTTGGCCACGGATAGGAGTTCCAGATTGCGACATTTCGAGCCGAAGAGACGCGGATTCGTCGGTGTCCTCTTCGGGCCCCACGGCAAGGCCGAATCCCTTTGGACTTGTGGACGTGCCCTGAGCCACGACGTGCAGAAATGACTTGACACGATTAACCGAAATTCGACGATTGCCAGTGGAACGACGCGGCTGTCACCGGTTCGTCAGGCTATCGTAAATTCCATCGACATCGGCGGAAACAAGATTTCACCAAGGAAATTCGGAACGTTAACTCAGGACGTCGACGGAACCAAATTCTGATTCGACTCTACAACTCGAATTCCCGGAATTAAATTTCAAGGGATTACGACACCGGATGGGTGAAATATAATCCGACGTTACCGATCATTGCAATTCCTTTTACGTCCCCTCACGGATGCCCAGAAATGCGCTTAGAATGAGAATTAAACTATTTTTACTCCGTTCGTGATAAGGCCTTACCGACTTACTTAGCCTTCGGCTCGATTTATTTGCGGAAAATTATTTTATTCCATTTTTCTTGCGAGGTAATTGCAACGTATATGCACCCCTACCTCCATATGCAGCTGATGCACCCTTCCGGTAATTTAGTAACGAACGGGGCGAGAATTACCAATATTTTTGGATTATTAGCTCCAATGACAAGCTCAACCAAGCATTAATATGTGCAATGATGACATTACAAAGTGCATCCTCGCTTGGCAGACCATACTCCCTCCTCCAGCTGGCACTATTTTTACTCCAATTTGTTCTGTGCACGTACACATGCGTGTGTTCATAAAAAACCGTCACGTCGTTCTATGACGCGTGTCTCGCAACTGGACTTGGGCTGAATAATTTAAATCCAACCGTGTCTTAGAACGCGTCGTTAACGGCCCAAAAATGGCCATTTAATGCAAGTCTTTGGCTTGATCGAAAGCAACTTCTCGATTATAACCGGCGTTGTAATCGAGAAGTTTTTTGAGCCTCCAGGTCTTGGGGCGAATGGCCACTCGCAATTGTAAGACTATATTTTCACTCTAATTCACCCTGTGCGTGGTAAACGTACACATGCGTGTGTTCATAAAAAGCCGTCACGTCGTTCTATGACGTGTGTCTCGCAACTGGTCTCGGGTCAAATTTAAACCCAACAGAGTCTCATAACGCGTCGTTAACGGCCCAAAAACGGGCATTGCCGCAAGTCTTTGGCTCGATCGAAAGCTACTTCTCGATTACAGTCGGCCTTGTAATCGGGAAGTTTTTTCGAGCCTCCAGTTCGGAACGCTGATTCTTGGGGCGAGTGGCCACTCGAGATTGTAAGACCTCCGCAAGTAGCCACTCACTTGACATTGAGAGTACTTCAGGGCATATCGCGGTGGAAAAAAAAAATTGACCGGCGCGCCGTCCGTTGTACACGAGCAAGAGGTCAAAAATCGGAGTTTTACGAAACGTCCGAAGAGCCGCGTTCAAAACGGCGGCGAAGTTCTTTGCGAACGGGAAATGATTATCGAGCCGGGAAAAGCATGTCGCTCGTCCGTCGAGGAAGCAATCGGGCCTTATGGGAAACGCGAGCGAGGTTTCTCCGGCGTCCTTATACCGGAGTTACCGAGGATATAATCCCCGGTTGCTGCCGATCCCGGTAACTCGGCCCGGCAAATTGCCTTTCTCCTTCTCGGATGTATAATTGCGGGGGTCAAAGCCAAAGCTCCATTACCGACGACGCCATTCAACGGCATTACGCGCCGCCACTTCTCGGAACAAGCGGAACCTAATGGCGAGCCTTCGACAAGTTCATCGAGATGCCGGAAAGTGTCAACGAAGTGGGAGGGAAAATGCGATTATGGGATGTGCGGTGTCCTTAGGACACTTCCCTTTATCGATAAGAGACGCGTTAAGGACACCTCGGGCACTGATCGCGGTCTCGACGTCCACAGCTCCATTGAGTAATTGAAACTGCAACTAAAACATTTAACGCGGTTTATTAAAAGTCCACGTGAACTTGTGATTCCTCTTACATTGGCAAGCTTAACGTGAGAAGTTCAACGAGTCTCTGTTGAACTGGTGTCGAAGTAGAAAAATAATTCTAAATCCAAGTCGCACTTGGAAACTTGATTTTTAGCTTATGAGTACACGGGTCTCTCTAGATTACGCTAGGTGGTCGTGTCCTATCAATATTTTGCGGTAATTATTACATAGTAGTACGCGAAAGTCACAGATTGAAAGTTAACCTCGACAGCGGAGATGAAGTTTGCCGGTAATGATGACGATTAATGCCGGTTTACGGGGATCTATCGTCACCGGCATTTACTTCGAAAGCACTTTCGAACAAGACTAGTTTCTCGATGTACCTACTCCGCCGAATGATAAAAGTACTTTCCTGACGTTTGATACACCGAGGCGTGATAAGGTGATTGGTCATTCGATAATAATTCCTACCGTGCTAAACACTTATTAACTAAGTACACCTATGTTTACAAACTACGTTTACGCTACTTTTATGAAACTTAACAAAAACTCGAGTCGCAATATCTGTGTCGGCATAAATTTTATGCGTTTTTTTTTTTCTCTTTTTTAACGTTTCCCTTTCGCCGTAAAGGAAAGCATCAAAAAGGGGAGAACGAGAACTGCAACTATTTTCGGAACAATAAATTAAACTCGGAAGGTAATGTCCATTTTGCAATTTCATCCTGCCCGGTATCACAGATATCCAAACTGACACTCCAGATCTACATTCGCACAGCTTGCATGACCAGACTTCTTATCATCTCCTCCACTTTCATCGTAATCCTGGTTAATGTCTAATATCGATCGATCGAGATCGAAGATTTCAATGCTATCCAGTAATAATATCAATAAAAGATCTCGCGCAGTTTTCGAATCTCCTAAAACTAAGTCTCGATCCCTGCGATCTGCCATCATCAGGTGATGACCCAAGTGGTGTCACGAGATCCTCGATCTTCGTCAACGAAGTGAGATCTTCTTCATCATGTTCAACACACTGGGTCCAGGGAGCGGGCAAGTGGGGTAGAAATTATAACATCCTTGACCTTCCAGACCGGAAATCAGCTGACCCATATGTGCCGCGAAATGGTACCTCGACGCCACTTCCGCCATAGTGGTCAAGCTCGTTTCCCTGAAAAGAAAAGAAAAAAACGCCGTACATCCTTTTAGTCACTCGGAAATTCCACGTACAATTTTAACAACACGATATTAAACATAAATTCCTAATTAAATCATTTTCAGTTTGACGACGGAATTGCAAGGTCTGCTGGAAAGTAAGAGTAAAAGATTAACGTCGTGGCGAAGAAAATGCCTGCGAATGAATCGGCTGACTTGAGGGAAACAGAGCGTTACTTTGCACGGTCGCAATATGCTCCGAATAGGCACAAGGCAAATTGCCTTTTACTTTCGATATCGAGGGCTTATGCTCGGGAATACTCGACCATTGCCACACCCGAGGTGACCCAGTGTCGGAATCGACGTATCCTTTCCATCGGCCGCCATCTTGGAGGCAAGAACTCGACGACTAAATATTCATGGCTAAATATGCCTCTCAGGAAGCGAGCGATCGAGAAATCTCCATAAGCTGAGGAGCGAATCCAATATGGCGGAAACGGCGTCCCCGCTCGGCGACCACCTCGAATATTCAGGGGCCAGATTCATGGATAATAATCCACGCTAGAAGAAGAAGACTCTCCTACGATAAAGCCCAGCCTTGAAGAAGGGATCCTGCTCCTTTACGATCACGAAAAGCCGTAGTTCGGCGGGGATATAACGAATAAACGCAAACGGCTTTTTAGCTTCTCCATCTTGATCGGTTTAACTCGATGCGATCCGTCCAATAAAATCGAGCCTTGCGCGTTCGCGTTTGCGTTTACGCCCACATAAAAGTAAATATAAAGCTCGGATCTTTCCGGGACATTAACCGCGCGCGTAAGGATCGTTCGAAGACGTTTCTCTACGACTTCACCGTTCCGTTCGCCACTCTCGCTCTCTCGTGAACGAGAGGGCCGAAAACGGAGGGTGCGCCCCGATTTTTGCCGCCGTCGCCTTGTTATCCTTCCCAAAATTCGGGAATTCAAAAATTGCACAAATTTCAAAAATACTCCCAGAATGTACCAAGCCAACATGCCTCGGGACGTAAAATAACAACAAATAAAATACCTTATTAAATCATGAGTCGTATCTCAAGCGCGTACATTCGAGCGGCGTAAAGGCTGAAAGTAACTCGCAATTCGCGACAACTTTATTCCCTCGCGTGTTACTTTTGTCTCATTACCGGTACTCTTGGAAGGTAAAATACGATTCCCGGGAGGTTTTCTTTTGTGTCTCATTAAAAGGATAACGCGACGTGCAGCAAGTCATAAGCGCATGCCTTAGTTTAACTGAAAACGGTATTTATGCACGCCGTAAACGTCGCAAGTGGTAAAACAAGATGGCGGGATAACGAACAGCGGAAGCGTCCACCGGCGTTGGAAATTCACCTTTTCTTTTCTTTTTTTTTTCTTAACAATCAGGGATCTCAACGTGGACCACAAAGACCTGCGTTGCCTCTGGCGCTGTTAGCTCGGAGAAAGTCCTTTCGTTGGATAACCCGTGAAAAGGAAAGTGCGTCCCGGTTATTATAACACCGCACAAAACGGTGAGTGCGTAATATGGCGACCGGCGCCGTTTTTCGGGTGTCCTTACGTAACTGGCCAACTTTCACGTTGCTTCAGGGTCCAATTTTCGGACGACGGACTTCCTGGGACTCTCGGCCGAACTTCTAGAGATCTCTTTGACCACTAATCGCCATGTTCTAGAAAAAAAATTCTAATAATTCAAGGAGAGACGAGGAAGAAAGAAAAAAACATTGGAAATTAACGACGAATTCGGTGCTGGATTTTCCAGATTTCTGGAAGTCTCTCAGGTGAACGTCCGACTGTTGCGTGCAGTCTCTACCATTGAATATCGCTAATTAAAGGGGTTCTTGTGAACACTGTTAAGCAGAATTACGTGACGCAAGCGAGAAGAGAACGGTTACCGGCCCGTTGTAAACGAAAGTTGTGAAAGTAGCCGGCTGCAAAAGACTTGCAGTTGAAAGTGGTCGTCAAGTTCTTTACACGCGGCATGTTGCCAGCGAAACTTGAATGTCTGGTTCATCCGACACCAGGTACTCACATTGGCGAGCAGATATATTCAGATCTCGGTACAGGAAAAATCCTAGAAAATTTCCGCTGGATCCGTCCGGCAGCGTGATCGTACCCCAAGGTCGCCGGTCCATAAGAAATTGTTTCCTCGAGCTGAGGGGAAAAAAGCTGACTGAATTTTAATGAGTACCTGATTAGATTGAGCAGAGACCTCTCCATGTCGCTCAGTTGATCCTGATGCGCGGATGACATCAATTCGCAGACGAGTTTTGGCAAACAAGCCGTCTTGATCGTCGCCACCATCTTGGCTCGCCGAGTCGCCGCTGGGAAAGGATACCAGGATATTAAAATCAAGCTGGCAATTAATTTAAGACTATCACTTACGACATCCCTTTTTCAATCTCCAAGATGCTCCCGATAATCGCTTTCTAATCAACCGCACACGCGAGGATGGAAAATCAGATCAGTCCCTGCGTCTCATCCGTACACATCGGCGTCTTCAGGAAGTACATAGTCTAGACTCGGTTGCGTAAATTTATGTAATACCTGAAGTCGATTGGAGCGATTTTATGTACTCTAGAAGCAGCAAGGAATATCTCGGGAATATACGAGAGGAAATCCGCTTACTGTTCCGAATAATTGCGCGTCTTGTACGTATGTCTTCGCGCCTTCAGGGTCTAAATGAACCTGAGCTCTTTACGATTTAACCGCGAACTTATGACATCGCTGATACCGTAATTTTACGACCATGAGACGAGGTTGCTTCTTTATTTACGAGCTACTTTGCGTTAACACGAGTCGATCTAGGTTCGCGAACGACTGCCAGGAAGGGGAGACCTTGGAGATAGAGGAGATTGCGGAGTGCACGCGGTGCTTTGTCGCTTTGTGTACGAACGTTCCCGGGAATATTCTAAGCAGAGCCATCCAACTTCGTTTAATACTTCCATCTCGATGCGTGGCGTGTCCAGGACAAATTTAGCGCGTCGAGAAAAGGAACGGCGAGTAACTTAATAGGAGTGAAAGTGTGCAATCGAAGAAATCGGTACACCTTTGAAATAAGTCTCAACTCCCCTGCACCCCTTTCACCGAACAGCCACTCATAAATACACCAGGTAAGAAAACATCCCAACTTCACTCCGAACACCCACGTTCTTTGCATTCCTCGCGAAAGGCGTATTTATAAGTAGATATTACGTAAAAGCAGGTCGCAGAATAGCCGAGCTGAAAGTAAAAGGAATGCGAAGTCAGCTCCGCTTTTCTGCAGCGCTCGGCTGTTCGTTCGCTTCATTTCGCATCTCGGCTTGAAAGTCTACCGTTTTCCTCCTCGAGGTGCTTATTGGCAGCGGCAAGGGCCATCCTTTCGGCATGCAGCCCCTCCTTGGGGGGTCCTTCCGGTCCCGCAGCCCTTCCGGTCTCGTTCTTCCCCGCCGGGCTTCCAAAGATGGACGCCACGATGGCGCTATAGTCGCCGGCGAAGGCGAGAAACATCCCCAGGAAAATCATCAACCGCACCGTCCCAGTGTCCACGACCATGCTTTGACCCTGCCTCCAAAGGCCGCCTCTGATTGGTCGATTCTCCAAGCCCTGCTCGCTGATTGGTCCTCGCCGCTGCGCGCGCCGCTCGAAACTTTAAACTTCACCCGGACGCTTCGACTCCCTTTTTCTCGGTCCACGGGGGAAATTTTATCCAGCTCACTTTTCACGTGGTTTGGGTTACTCAACCCGAGGTGTTTCACGTTTAATACCGGATATTCAATATTTAATGTTAAGGGCTTCGGGCATCCCGAACTGCGAGTCACCAGAGAGCGCGTCGCGCTTCGCTGCCGGTCGCGGACTCTAAGACGCCGACGCTGCCTCCAGTCTTTCTCGGGTATCGGGAAGTATCGTCACTCCACGCCAAAACTCTCACTCTCTTCCCACTCCGACTTTCCTCTGCTTCCTTCCCGGCGCGACTGCCGGCACTGTGTCTGTCGATTGGGGATATGGAGGTCCGGTTCCACGCCGCTCCTTTTTCTGCTCCCGCTTCTTCAAGGACCTCCCCAGGGTCGGCAGTGTCCACCGAGAAGCGACCCCGCTCTTCTTTGTTCCCGCTCGAGTTAAGATATTTCCCAAAACTCGATCACTCTTATCCAACCCGCTGGATCTCAAAACTCCCCTAAAACATTCCGTTTCAACAACAATCAATGAAACCGCTCCTTCGCTCTGGTCGTATCATTGATATTCATGATTAATAAAAAAGCGTACCATTAACGAATAAAAATTCGTGAGGAGTGTTTTTATTACCGAGCCTTTTTCCAGAGACGCCTCGATAGCCCGGGCGGAATAATCATGTTAATTAAAGTGACAATGAAATTCTTTCAATTTCTCGCCCTGAACAATGGGTGCAAGGAAATGATACCCCAACCTGATGATCTTTGGTTAGGTGGGTTTCGCACGTTTCTTGGCTATTTAATGATCGGAATGAATACTTACTTTGTTGCTCGGTGTTGGTTCTTTAATTGACTAGCTGTCAATGGATCCTCGGGGAAGACTGAGACCGACCCAGACCGTTCGCCAACGTTACCAGAGCTCCGGAATGACTGTGAAGGATTGGTAACCGCGGCGAACGGACCACCACGCGGTGTGCGCACCTCGGTCTGGTGAAGTCAGTGAAAGTTGGACACTCCCGGTGCTCTGGTACTCTGTTGTCGTGTCTCGTAATGTGAATCGAGACGATGACAACCGCGTTTACGCACACGTGTCGGTACGCACACGTTTGCGGCCAGACACCTCCGAAAGCCGAGCGAGGTCGAATCGAGATCCGGAGCCCGAAGCAAAAAATAAGCTGGAAAATTGGATAATTATCGATGACACCGAAAAATTTGATAACATGATTCTAATAAAATAGATTAACTATTGTATCCAAAAGATGTAAATATCTCTCTTAAAAAGGGAGAAGAAGAAGTGTATTCATTGCAACCACTTACATGAGAACGCGGTAAAATTTCAGAATCCACGATGAGGAAAGAATTTGTTATTTCTTTTGAAATATCAACATCCATAGGTTCTGGTGGATTTTTAGAGGAAAGGTGGCTCGAAGATGTGCTGGAAATTTTCAAGGATTTTATTATGCCTCTTGGCGGTGCGTGGGATGTCTTCGAAAATTGAAATCACGCGAACTTTGGATGGCGATGCGGAGGACGAATCTGCGGATATTGTTTGAATTCTTCGCGGTGATTACATGCACCGAGGCAGGGGAATACACCGGAGAAAGTGCTCGAGTACCGGCATGGACGGGAAACCTCTCCAGATGATCGCCAACGGAACTTGGCGCTCTCGGTTTCTCTGCTTTCTACGGATTTTTCAACCACATTGAAAGTCGGGTAACGCAATATGCACGATGAGCACTGATACGCCTGCACACGTTGCACCGAAAATCGATTTAAATCGATATCAAGTAATAATAAGTAGAGCAAGGGATTTTTAATACTGACTTCGAACCGCAAGGTGACTATCGGTGGTCTCGGAAACAAGTCTCGGTTATTTTTGTACTCGTCTGTTGACATGGGCATTGCATTGCACCTGACTACGAGTAAGACTTTGGAGGGATTTAAACCCGGAAGAGAACGGCAGGCTTGTGCATTATCTCTTTTTGTCGTATCTTCATCTTTTCCCTCAGCCCGAGAATCCTGCGGGACCGAGGCGGAAACATTCTCTCCATCTCTGCGAACCTGTTTCATATCTAAGATTTTTAATCGAATTAAAATATTGGAAGAAGAGGAATCGGTATCACAGGTAATCCCTCAAGGTTGGACAGGTATGGCGCTCGCTGAGCCGTGAGTTTCCAGTTCAAGGTATCTCCTTGGAAAACTTTAGAAAACGACGGAAAAGTACTTAACGCGCAATCGTGATTTCTCCTTCCGGCCTGGCATACACTTCATTTATAAACGGCGGAGCTCATTAGCGCGGGCATCTTCGGTTATTCTTTTTACGGAGAATTATTAATGTCCGTGCGAGTGGCGTTATATTTTTTTTTCGAAGGCCTCGCAAAATGCTTCGATTGCACTTTGCGCCGACAGTAAAGAGCACATCGTCACGTATTTCGTCCTCGATCGAGCTCCGAGGATTTCTCATCATGTCGGACTGCGGATTGTTTGCAGGCCGGGATTTCAGTTGGTTTACGATTTATTGTGTAATGTGGTGCACGCCACATGACGTGACTGCGCTCACTTTCGCCTTTCCGTGTGCAACATTGCATTGTTTACGAATACGGTTATAGAATCGGGCTAGACATGACAATAATTTATTAAACGAGGTGCACGTCAAAGGGTGCCGATCATACCGATCTGCGTCAGGGAATCCGGAAGATTAATCTTGTCATCGAAGATTAATCACGACGGCGACACCCGAGGGTAGGGATGAATAAATAAGAGGATAGGAAACATTCTAACAATCGTTTCGTTTGATTCAGATCGAAGGAAGTGCAACTCTAAGACCGCGCCCCCTGCCCCACTCGTAAACCTGAAAATTGCACCAGGGGTGCACTCCTTTGTAGCACCCTCATCGAACCAGAAAGTAAACTTATTACGAGGGATGTAATCGGACGCACCCTCCCTCTATTGGCCGAAGAAACCAATGGGTGTGGCCGGTTTCAACCCTAACCAATGAATCAACATCCCCGGATCTCTTTGATGCAGTTCGAGTCCCTTTCCATGGAAATTAGGAATGGAAACTGGAGCCGTAGTTTACTAGGATTTTACAACACACTCGTGGAGCTCAAAAGTACATTCGTCTTCTGGAACATAATGGATCGCACCCTCGCTCGATTGGCCGAAAAGTTTTGGGGGTGTGACGGACCCTGTCCCTAACCCATGGGTCTTCATCCCATGGGATCCCTCGGGTTTTCGCCAGTTTCCAAACGGGATTTCCATTGGTCGGTTTTGTGCCACGGTAAGGTCTCGCCAGTGGAATTTTCCTCATCCTAAAAATGGCGTTCCTTGACGCGGATCGGCGTCACGGAAGTTTCCCAAAAAATTTCCAGAGCCCAACCGCACGGTCTGGCTCCGTTATGTCCTGTTTATAAAAATCTCGTTACCACTTTAATGCTTTCGGACGGGACAACAGTAATCAGCCTCGTGATATTCACCGTAAAATGTCTTTATAATGCACGCTGAAATTGAGGAGAAAATTATTACCAAAATACCACTCATACATTAGATCGACTTCTACGTATCTCGCGTTCAATGAACGATCATTATTTACACCGCGGTGAATTAATTTACCGTCACATGACATAAGCAGATTTTTTGTAACGCCCGCAAGAACGTCATTAATTTACAAGGTCAGTCATCAGCTAGCAAAATAGGTGCCAAGCCAAGCACAGATCTGGTGAGCGGCGTGACTGGTTTGAACGGTTCGATTGGGAATTTCTTAATGTTACCGAAGGATGGTCTCCTCGATGGCGACCTCCACTTCCTCAAGTAGCTCCTCTTCCTGTCGCCCTCGTACTGGCAGTTGTACCTGGATATCACTCTGCTAGGAACTAAAATTTCACCGCCAGGTAAACACCCCGGTTCGAATTTATTTAGATACTTTTCTCCTGATTAAGTCTTTTGGATAATTACCTCGGTACGAGGTTTCGGTCGAAGAGTTCTCGGCAGAGGCTCGATTACTTGAATCCGATTTTCGGGGATAGAGCTGAATAGCCGGTTGCAGGTGTAGAAGGGGTTGGACGATGCCCAGGTGGTCTACTGACAAAGATCCCGTACTTCCTCGGTGGAGGCTCTGGTGGCGTCGGGGGTGGAAAGGACGGTTCGAGTATCTTTTGAAATTAAAAAAATTCGAGATCATCCCCAGATAATATTTAGAAAATAAAAGGCCATTATTTAATGAACGAGGTTCTGTGGAATGAATAAAAAAGAAAAATCAAATTCAATCCTACCTTGACATCCGCGAACAAGTCCGACGCACCCTCTCCTCCCTCGAGAGATTTGCATTCGCGAGAGATAACGATTCCTGTCGGTTCACGGGGAGAGTTCTCCCAGAACTTGCACTGAAAATGACCTAACATTAATTAGCAATTACTGGAAGGCCCTGAACATCACTTAATCCGGGGAATAACGACGTCCGTTTACTTTTCCTAGGACCTTCTCCAGCTCCGCCATCTTGTTCGCCGTGGCAGCCAATTCCGTGTTCAGCCTCTTTATCTAGAAATGTACGAGCATTTATTATCGTTCCAGAACCCATTATTATTCTGTAACATTAAGCCACAATAACGTTTAGCCTCCTGACATAACTTCGAAACCCCATCTCGAACCCACCTCATTGTCCAAATGCCTGGCGGTGACTTTCTGCGCCCCTTTCTGGAAAAGTTAACGTTTTATTGCGTAATTCCAACTTTCCCGTATACAGCAGGACGTAAACGGAAGCTCGGTAGAAGGAAGTTAGAGATAAGGAACGATTCACTAAGACAAAATCCGCAAGCTAACCGCTTTGACCACGACTTCCTCGTACTCGGCGCGTTTGTTCTTCAGGGCGATGACGTCGTCCAGTTTCTATAATCAATTTATAAATTCCATCAGAATTAACTTAAACCCCTTAATAATGCACCATCCGAAGAAGACATCGATCGTTCCATCGATACATGACGATATATACGCTACTTTATAGGGAAATACTAAAGCGAGCGAAATTGTCCTCTCCGGATAAAATGGCGCCTCGAAAACCCATTTCCCAGTACACGTAATTCCACCTACACTTCTGTTCTCCTCCACCGAGGCGAGAACTTCTCGATTTGACTTCTCGATCCACCTGATGACCTGCAATCGATCGAGCAGAAGACGTTCGTAGTAGTCGTCGAGCTATCCAAGTTTTACTGGGTAGTTACCTTGTTGGCGTACCACAGGGCGGCGTAAAACAGGATGTACATCAATATGCAAACGAAGATGTTATCCAGAACGTACTGGCGGATGAACGACTGAAAATAAAGCGAAAAGTAAAAGAGGTAAACCAGGAAACCTTCAACGGCGTTAAATGATGACGCCGACGAAGGGGCCTTACCTGGCGATCGTACACGTCGAACAGCTTCAGAACGGGATAAGACTTGGTCAGTCGGGAAAAGTACCATTGTCTCTGCTGAAACATGGCTGTAACAATCCATCGGCGAGGGAGGATGGAAATTAGCAAGTCGCTGGAAAAGTGGACGACGTGTAAAGGGCAACCGGACTACGGTAGACTGGATAAACTAGGGACGAAAATTTGCAGGTGTCGTAAAAACATCCTGCACGCTTTCGATCGGGAAGAATGAACCCAGCTGCGAATAAGTGAACCGCGGATATCTACACGGAAATCAATTGATACGACCTAGAAGTACATTTGAAATTTCCCGGGAGGATTTCATTCGAATTAGGGATTTATATTTAAATTTATTCCAGGATATAGTTCAGAATTCTCGGCTCGGGTAATCATTCCGAACAGGACTTGCACAAGCTGGAGCAATTTCGATCGATCTAAAAGCCTGCACCAAATCTACGCAGGAACCAGCCATAAGCGCAGCGCATAGCGATAAGACCTCCCTCGACACGTGCAGGGCGTGCTTTAATGAGCGCACCGCAATATCAACCCAGAGTACGGGACGGATAATATCGATAACGATAACGGCAACAACGACGAGGGCCCGAAGTCCGGCGGAATTCATCGCGAGCAGCGATCGTCACGCATGAGAATTCCGCGGCGCGGTTTAATTGCGGCCCATAAAGTAATTCCGCGCGCGGTTAGGACGCGCCGCGACTTCGGCGTCGGAGCTTACAACTTTACGAGCTTTAGGGTCGGTTTATGCTACATTAGTACTTAACACTTGGATACGACCTGGCGACATACGCGTTAAAAATTCAAAGGACGATCGCGAGAAGGATTACCGAGCGTCGACCCTGGAACCTAACCTAAAAATGAAAAACCGATTAGAATTCGAGCCTCCGAAAATACGTTCTGGGGAAATTAGAAGTGCCTGCAGAAAGCAAAACCGCCTAATTCCATGGATCGAGTACCACGTTTAGGGGGCTTTAAGGGAGCCATGGGGTTCGGCGTCCCTCGGTCTCTTTATCCGTCTCTTTTCCGGCGACTCGGCTAATGGCCTTCCCTCTTAATAGCTTAAGCAGCGGCATCATAATTTGGGAAAACACTCGGAGGGTCCGCGTCTTCATTGGAGTTATTAGCATTTGATTAAATAAACAGGGATTAGCATGCGAATGGCGGGGCCCAATCGATGGGGGGCGCCCACGTAGGAGAGGGTGCACCTCTCGTACACGCGCGCAGGTCAGGGTGCAGCCGAGCTTATGGGGTGGTGGTGTGCCACTTGTCATTTCCCATGACGCCTCGCGGGCAGGGTTGACTAACTAAATACGAAGTTAGCCAAACAGACCCCGGGCCAGGGTTAAACCGAGCTTAAAGCCCGTCGCGAGCTTCCCGCGGGATATGCATTTGCGCAGTACAAACAACGAATCAACTGCAAAAACACTCGCGACCCACTTCGGATCGCTTAAAGGAATCACTCCTACGGTGTTTCGGACCCAGTGGTGTCGCTAGAGATTGGCCCTCCGAGAGATGTTTATGTAAAACAGAAGCCTCCCTAATGGCGGCGAGAAAACCTCCCCAGTCGCCCACTTGACGCGTCAAAAACGTCAGTTACATGCGAGGGTGGCGTTACTTTGATGACGGGGCCTTTTGTCGGCTGATGCGGGGAAATTGCAGCCTGCCGAGTGGACCAAAGTGACGAAGTGTCGAGTCTAAAGTGCCCAAATGTGATCCTGTATCGCGTTCCAGGCTACGTCCTGTAGGATAATGCAAGTTAAATTTTCAGTGATCGGTTGGCGTTCAAGTTTCGACTTTGCTTTCTTGTATCACGGAATGGAGCCTGGAAGATGGTCCGGTGATTACTCTCTCAAAGGTTTCGACATGCGATCCCGACATCTCGAGGTTCATTCTCAGGGCGGCCCGGACGGGCCGGAAGACCGGCGGCATCGGTCGGTAATCGATTTCCCGTGAACTCAGCCGTAATTCACCCTGCAGTCGGTGTGACAAGAAAGTCTCCTCGCAAAGGCGCCACCGAACCGAGAAATTACTCATCGTACTGATTGAGGTTAATTAATTAGATAATTAAGTCCCTGCAGCGAGGCAGCCCGGAGCTCGAGGACGAGCCTCGTCCGTATCCCCAGGAGGAGCTTTCGCCGGCGAGGTTCGTTATGTGGGAAAGAGCTCCTCGTTATCGAGACCTCCCTCGTTAATTCGATATCTCGGTGTGTCAGACCTTCGCCTTTGTGCCTACAGAAAAAATGGATAATTCTTCTCCGGGATTCCGACGTTCCTCGCGAAACTCCCGACCATGAAATAGTATAAGGAGACATAACGTCAATGGTCGGTTCCACGGAAAGTGATCGCAGAATCGAAACCCAGCATCTCAGATTTTTGCTGATACATAACCGAAACATTTCATACCGACTAAACACCGCAAATTACCTAAAATGCATTTAATTTTGCCATTAAGGTACGCAAAGCGAAACCATAATCCGCGTATGATATGCAGAATGTGATGTTTTTAACGTGGTTAAGACTAACAGAGGATAATTTTTAATTGCAAAATTTCATTGATGCATTCTCGCGCAGTAGATTAGAAAAAAAAAATCTGAATATCTTGGACTCCTTTGTTATATCTGGTACTCTGCTATTTCGTGCTCGCAACGCTCGCCGGCCGCCATATTGGATTTACCGCGCGACTCTCGTTTCAACGCACAACTCGGCGATTACCGCAGTAATTCGAAGTTCCAACCACCGTGAACTGCGCGAAACTTCCCTCTCCTCGACGATCTTCCGTCGTTTCGAATCCCGCGGGTCGCGCTGATTGAGAATAATGCGAGAAACCAATTACTCCGCATCGAGTTTGTGCTCCGCATATCCGCGCTTTATGGCGCGACCTGCAGCGCCGCGTATGCGCGCGGTTCGGACGTTAACTAGTTTCTGGAACTATCCTCCGTCGGGTGGTCTTAATTTTTAGACGCCAATTCCGAGATTTATATTCGGTGCACTCCAATTCCGAGCTCGCATCTTTCCTCGGGAATTGCTTCGGCGGGAAGTATGACGACGGACTCGGAAAGTTTCCCCTACGTAAATTCTCCAATTTCTCGGTCGACGTCTCGACGCTCGAGGAGTTTCCACCGGCGAGAAGAAAGAATCCGCCCCGAGGCCCTGGCTAAGGAAATCGATGATTCGATTGCGACGCCACGCCGAGCATGAAATAAGTGTACACGAATCTCCGGTCGAAGACACGCGTCTTTCCGCATTACAGCGGGAAACCAATTTGCGGGGCCGAGGGTGCGGGGGCGGTGTAAATGTGGGTTGGCTGACAAGAGAAGTAGTTTCCATGTGCGAGCGGCACAAAGCGACACGCACATGGAAACTCAGCTCGACAGCGGAGATGAAATCCCCTTTCCGAGTGCAAGCGCTGTTATAAGGCCATAAAGATGTAATCGCACCGCCACGTCGGAGCGTTTCCGCCCGCCGAGCCGGCGAGCGCGCGAAATTCAAACGGCGGAAGCGGCCGATCCGGCGCCATGTTGAAAACCCGAGAGATAAAACCTAATTCCCTGGCTATACCGTGAGAATCGTAAAGAGGATTGGTTCCTTCTTTCTAGACTCAGGTCTAGGGTCGAAATCAGGACCTCATGGATTTCTGAGAGTAACCATGAGAAGTCCCGTGTCACCCGGAATGGATGACAAGGCAGGAAGGAGCGATAATGTCGAAACGGAATCGCCTGTCGTCTACTCGCTTCTTAATCTCGAGTCCTTTTAGTCGAAGAAGGATTTCGCGGGGAGGAAACGCGGAGTCATGTGGAAATGGAAGCTGGAAGGTCCCTCCATTTTGGGGAAGGACCATCGATCAACTCTCCGCGGCTGCCGAGGTCGCTCTAGAATCGACGTCTTCGGGGAACCGACGACTACGTCGTACTCCGGAAACATGTTAATATTTTATCACTTTGCGGAATCGTTTTAACAGGCAGTGCCGGGATTTCCGAAGTCCATGTCGCGTTGATAGAGCTAGTGGGGCTCTCGGCGTGAAATCCGACGAGGGGGTTCGGGTGGTGAGAAAGGAGCGTCGCGAACCAGTTCGAAAAAGTTGGAGGGCACCCCAGCTCGCTAGGGCGTGTCGAATCTCCCTGAATCATTCCTGCGATTGAATCTAAAACGATTCAACAATGCCACTTGTTCCCGGTTGTCATCTGCTGGACGGACTGCAGCTACGGAGCGTAACGCGACCCGTTGATGTTGCGTGCGAGCTGACGCGCACGCTGCAGCGTGGACGAGCGTCGTCCTGTCAGTCAGGATTTAACCAAGCGTGCGGAAGTGAGAGAGCATTGTACCATCGCTCCCAGTACCCAACGGAGAAATGGAATCGGGGGTGTTGCCCAAAATTCTGGGGGCCGGTGATTGGATGTCAAGTTGCGCGACGTCAATCGAAGAATATGCTTTGACTTGAAATTAATTTGAGTGGTTTCCGCAAGAATGGCGCCCCCCATTCACGCGGGGCAACCAGCCGGCGATTAATTAGACAAAGTAGGCGCAACTGTTGGAACTGTCGGAACTCGACACGTTCCACTAACAAAAACAGGAATCCGTTTTGATCGCCCTCAGGGATTCTCCCTTTTCGCTGAATTCCCGGCTAGAAATGGCGAGGTGGAGCCTGGTAGATGCACGGGTGACGCCAGGCGGAAATGCGGAATGAGGTTAGGGTAGGCGCCGAAAGAGGCGCGGTCGGAGCCCCCGTAGGGACCCATGGATGCTCAGTTTCGATACGTTCGTGGTCCCAAGGGTAGTGCCCGGCATTTTGGACTTTCAATTAAGGGTTACCAGGCCCAACCCCCTAGGGACTCTCCCCATGACTCTCTCCCTAACCGAGGAACCTGTAAACGGTCTGACTTCTTAATCCCTCGACTGATATCCTGCGTTTTTCTAACATGGGTAGATCTTATCACGAGGGAACGGTGTAGGGCCATTTTCTGAATGGATGGACACGTAGATGCATTTTCTTGGACATCCATGCAGTTTACTTAGTCGGATTCCGAGCACGTAGCAGTGGGTTTCCAAACCGAATC